GCCAGGAGCCCCTAGTAGCGTCCTTGCTCCTAGTAGCGATGCCAGGAGCCCCTAGTAGCGTCCTTGCTCCTAGGAACGATGCCAGGAGCCCCTAGTAGCGTCCTTGCTCCTAGGAGCGATGCCAGGAGCCCCTAGTAGCGTCCTTGCTCCTAGGAGTATGGCCAGGAGCCCCTAGTAGCATCCTTGCTCCTAGGAGTAAGGCCAGGAGCCCCTAGTAGCGTCCTTGCTCCTAGTAGTAAGGCCAGGAGTCCCTAGTAGCTTTTTGTTTCTAGTTCTTTTTGCAGGGTGTTGAGGGATGTCCTTGTGACTTTGCTTTTGGATGGGACCTCCCATGAGAGACATCAATGTGATGGCCGGGTACGCTGCTTGATCCCAACTCGACATCGCTGGATGAAAGCGGGCGACAAACATGGGCGACAAACATGGAACGTCCAACGTCCTACGAGTACCATCAACCACAAATGCTTAGCCTATGACATTCCTCGCATGGAAATATGTTGATGAAACAAAAAGAACTGTGTGAATCTGTGTGGAGTTCTTGTAGACTGGAGCAAAACAGCAGATCGAACGCAGCTGAACAATCCACGGGTTTTTGCTCTGCATATTGAGTGATATTGATCTTGGGCACTCCGTCTGTTCCCCGTCATCAACTCATGTCTGCGCACCGTAATCGGCACCAGGGGCTGTAGAGGAAAGACTGGTACCTGTAGACCTGGGAAGTCAGTCGAAGTGTTTGAGGTTGGATGTGCCCTACGAATCCTATGGTTTAGGTCGGGGCCCCTCCCTCTTTTAGTTGCTTCGGAATGGAATCCGAGGCGCAAAGGCTCTCTCCCCTGACCAATCCCCAAGAGGTCCCTTTAATGAAAACCATCTATATCAATGCTCCCTTGAAGGTGCTTTGGAAATCTGGCCGAGACTGGAGGAAGCATCCCACGACACCGGGTTCGGAAACACACGTGTTGAAGGTTCGTGGTAAGGGTGAATCATCGTGAAAGTGAAACGTGCAAAGGTTCATGCAACAGTCAGACTTAGATATGCCCAGATCAACGCAAAGTCTGGACACCATAAAACAGCCGGGTGTTTGTTTCGAGCCACTTTTGTCGGGAAGTGACCTTTGTTAGACTCATAGTCATAGAATCTGTGGTTTGCTAAAGCCAAAAGACATGGGTTGCATAGAAGGGCCTCGACACCAAGGTCTTTTAGGGCAAAGACAGCAAACCACGGCTGAAGGGAAAGAAGTCGCCCATATGGCTAGAGAGGAGCAGCGAAACAACGACTCGTTGTGTCACTACAAAGGAGGCCGCTCTTTTTGCACAACTCTTGGGGATTCCTTCTTGTTACTAGTAGCTACTTGCTCCTATAGTAGTACGGCCAGGAGCCCCTAGTAGCGTCCTTGATCCTAGTAGCGATGCCCTTTGCTCCTAGTAGATTCTTGCTACTACTTCCAGTTGTTGCCGGAAGCAAGCCGACAAGTATTTTGAACCGCGGCCAGAACTGCCGTACCTGGACAGCCAGCTTCACTAGAACTACGCTCCTGGAAGTGGACCTTCCCTTCAGACCACAACGGATATGTTTGGTAAAAACATGTAAAGACACACTCGTCCATGGCATTCTCGCATTCCACGTCCACCAATGTGGGACCCGTGTTCTTTTTTGTGAGCTTTGCTATTGCTGCCTTCAGAGGTCTGTGATGTCGCAACTCCGGGCTTTGAACGATTAAAAAAAAAAAACGCTCAGAATCGGGTCTTTAATAACCGAAAAAGGTTACCCAAACACTACATGTATGGCACATTTACTTACATTGGGGCGGTTTCAGGGGCCACATCTACTATTGATATTATATATATACCATATGTACATGGAGTGTCTGGGTTATAACACGCTACATCACGCTACCAAGGAAAACAAAGCACGGGGCAACCACATCTTCGGTCCTCGTCGCCACGGTCGCCACCTCGGTCTCCCCGCTCAGCTCACCCGTTCCGGGCCGCCAGAGCTTGACGCTGACCTGGACACCCGGACACCGGTCTCTCGCGGCGGGGCCTGAACACCCGTCCGTTGGGACCCACAGGGTTGTCGATAAATGAAGAATGAATGATCATGATGTTTGATGATGTTTGTTGTGACTTGAGGAAAAACATAAGCATGTGTCATCATCATCTCTCACGACCGATCGACCGATTCTAGGAAAACACCTTCTTGGTCTCCTGGTGGTTTTGACCCACAGCCATCAAAAAGAAAAGACCCGGCTTTGCTGAAAACTAGACTTGTCCAGCAACTAGCCTCTTTAAAAAGAAAAGAACACGCAACCTCCAAATCCATGCTAGATGATCCATGATATGGCTTACATGTTGGAATTTGGGGGGGGCGAATCTAGATCATATTTGCTTGCATCGAGCGTCCGGACATCGATGTTGGATCAAAACCTCCGTGTTTGGCGTTCGTCTTCTCTAGTCTTGAGGACACATCCGCCATGCGCGGCCCATTTTGGGCTCCGACGCGTACGTCGTACGTCGTTGCATGCGGTCCCGTTGGTTCCTGGTAGTCCGGTTGGCCCGGTTCTTCCTGCCGGATCCGTTTCGATTCCATCTACCGGTCTACCCTTCTTGTCCCTTCTCAGGGTTTCCAAGGCAAGGTTAGCTCCTGGGGTGAATGTCACCCAGTGGCTTGACCAGTCTCTTCCCAACCTGACTGGCGCGACGCCAGAGTTTGGCACAGCGCCTTCTGCCCAGCCCATCCGTGGCACCTTCTGCCCAGGGAACTTCAGCTGGATCAGGTACACGAAGCTAAGCCGTTCCTGTCGCCGTTCGCTGTTCCAAACGACTCAGGTTGTCCGAGACCACCGTATGTGGGGCTGCAGATGTGGCAAAGCGGCAGAAAGGACAAATGGAACCAAATGGAACAGCCAGAGTGATTATGATTGAAAATACGATACAGTATTTTTTTTCTCAATATATGTTGGGGTGGTCACATACACCACTCACTTTTGTTTACATCCTCAACCCTTAGGGGGCCCCAACCGGCCCTACTCTGTGTCGTGTCCAGGATCGAAAGAGTACGCCCAAAGAAGTGCACAGTGCATCTGAAAAGCGAATAAAAATGGTCAAACTACATGGGTTCTGTTGTAGTTCTCCAGCTGGAACAGCTCCGTTTCTGAAGTGATTTCCTTCCCCTCAGACGACGCAAGAAGGTTCGTGGGACCGGAACGTTGTTCCACCAGTTTGCAGAGAAATTTGCCTACCAAAGGCTCATCTTCAAGTTCTATGTGGGTGTTGTGGGTGTGTCATAAAGCCCAGGAACTTCTCCCCACCTGATCCGTCAACTTATGTGCAGAACTCCTTCCATTCCAAAAACAATCAGCGTTTGATCTGCCTTCAGAGATTCAGTGTACATGCAAAGAAATCCTGAACTGGAAAAGACGCAGCCAAGATCTCGGGCGTTCGAAAGCCAACATGAGGAAACCCGGGCGCAAAGCTGGACGTCAAAGGCCTCGCCTGGAAGCCGACGTAAAAGGTGCCATCGTTGGAAATGCTGCGATTCTCAAGCTCCAGAAGCACATCCTCGGTGTCTTCGGTGGGTGGAGTGATGATGACCTCGCCAATTCGATGACCGGATGTGGCGACCAAAGGTCACAACCAAAAGAGAATGTATATTGTCGGTGCAGTGATGTGAGAAAAGACGGGATGACGATGGGCACTGACATTCGGCATCCCCAACGTGGTCATTTCGGCATCCGATTCTCAAAATAGAACATGAGTCGGATCACTTTCCTACATCCGGTGCTCGTCCGAGGTCAAAATCATGTGGACCCAGAATGAAGGAAAACTTCACCAACCAGCAAAAAGGCGTGGTCCCTTGCTTGTGCCAAGAAACGCCAGGGAAGACCAGCCCTTGTGCGGGCGACAAGGGAAGCAAACCACGCACATAGACCTCGGTCTGGTCGACCGGCCTGAGGACCCGTGAAACGACACCTGTCGTCATAATCGTCTACGTTGGTTTCGTGCAATTTCATGGACACCGATTTCATGGGCTTTGTTTAGATTTCATGTGTTATATATATATACACTCAAAAAGTTTGTTCGCGTTCAGCTTTGACGGAACTCACGGTGATTCAAGTCTCCACGTGGGAGTCTCCAGCTCTTTTAGCATGACAAACTGCCATATGTTATATTGGAATATTCTGTGTCACTCAGCCAACAATGCAACCAGAAGATACAAGAAGCATGAATTTCATAAGTCCTGTTCAATAGATAGAGAGGTTCAATTATGACCAGCACTGACCAGCTACGGCACAAAGAACTACAATACGAGCAAAGTTTACTGTTTGAAACTCTTGCCTTGGTGTCTTCTCATGGTTTCCCATCTACCGCTGCCAGTGATGCTGGGGGACGATCGCTATGATCGATGGTGTTTAAGGTCGTGGTTTTCCATCTACCACTTACACTTCTGGTCGAAACATGAAACGGGGAAGATGGTGGTTAACTTGGTCGTCTCTTGTCCACTGCCGGTTCCGAATGGTCCGATGGTGCCGATGTCGTGGTTGTCCGTCGTCCTCACGGACCAAACCCACAGAATCACAGCAAGACTCGGAGAGAGCCCGAGACTTGGCAGTCACCACATGCCACGGACTGCTACTCTCGGTTCCCCTGCCCCAGTACGATGTTCCAAGGCCAAGGACTCTCGCCTCATGGAGAGAATGAGAATTGGAAAGGAGAAGGAGGTGGGTCAAGCAATCTCTTCAATATGAAGGAAGCATGTCTTCAACATGATTGAATAACCATGGCTGAGAAGAATTGACCTCAATACCCAACATGAACTTCAAGTCAATTCGTCTATAGATTCGAAAGTATCAACCCTTGAATGCTGCAGTCCGGGAAAACCGTTGTGGAAGGGTTGTTGCTATCTACGATATCTGGGCACGTCTTACAGTATTCTATAATTAGTGTGTACTAAACCGGAAAAACATGGGAAAGTTCAAGAATGTCTTGCAAGGCTTTTCTGATCCACTGGAGCACCGTGGCCAGAAACACCTGGGAGAGTTGTTTTAAGAGATACAACCATACCAGGGATGCTGCCGAGCAAATACCCCAACTTGTGACATCCACCAGCTGAGCCAACATGATTATCGCTAGTTGTACGTAGACTTAGACCAAGGATATGTATTGCACCCATCACCGAAAAACCTACCCAAACCTGGTTGGGCGCCGCTGGTGGAGATAGAAAACAACTACTAGACATGTTCCCACCATCCACGACCTTCCTGAACGTGTGCCTTTTCACGAGTCGTTTGTTGGTCACATCTGGAGCAGAGGTGAGCTCCTTCAGGATGGTCGGGTGCTTGGGCAAAGAAAAGAAGTTTCGCAAAAACCACACATGCCACAACAGTTTGGGTCACCACCAAAGAATGCTTCCACCCCCATAAAAGTGTTTTTTCCATCGTCTTTCGTCACCAAACTCCTCTTCAACTCCCCTCCCCCCTTACTAACCGCGCTCACTCCGCATCGCCGCGCCGCTTGGACCGGCCGAACCCGAGCGGCAGTTGATCGTTCTCCAGGCCCTGGCGACGTGGGAGCCATCGGACGGTTGGGTGAGACGGTTCTCAATGAAAAACGCAAAACCTCGAAACCCTTCAAAACCTGAACATCTTCAAACAGCCCCAAAAACATGCAACGAAATAACCTTCAAAAAATCCGTTGTACACCCTCAACCGAAGAAGTGCCGATCTATGGTGAATGCGTTGTAGAAATCTCCTTGACTGGAGCACCCACAAACTCGTTTTCACACCCACAAACTGCCTCTTTGTTGGTTTCCGGGTACAGATGGGTTGGTGAGTTTACGTGGGACATCTGCTACTGAAGAGATACATGAACTCACCGAGATATATGATTACACGTGGCAAGTCGCAATGTGAGGAAAGCTAACAGGATCCCTTTAGAATTGGTTTCAAAAGTGATTGAGAACTAACTTGTGCATTAGCTCCAAAAGAGTGCCAGAAGCCAACCAATGGGAGGCTTACGAAAGTGTTCGAAGTGCTTCCTTGAGGACCCGTGGACCTCGTCGAGGTTTACGGTTTGGGCACAGACGCACAAAAACAAAAGGAACCGGTATGCGGCTGTGGGTCAAAACCGGGGAACTTGGTTTTTCCCACCAAAGATGAACACTACTTAGACTACTTAACTAGGGACGTCAACCTACCAGGGATTGGGGCTCCAGGCTTTGACCCACAGCCATGTGTTGGACCGATCCACTTCAGTCCCTCCTACTGCGAAAATCATACGAAAATCACACCCCTGCAAACGTGCGTTCTGCAACGTCCAATTCCATTCCCACATGGAACTCAGGCACATTCAGGCACCAAGGACGCAAAGTTGCCCACGCCAATGCCCACGACCCAGTTCAGACCGCAATTCCGTGCAACTGACACCTACCATCGCAGAGGTAACTTGGAAATGTCTTCAATAACTTGGAGCTTTATACAAAAAAACACCGAATTCGTTGAGTCTTAGAGTCGCAAAGCCCTTAACTCCACCATTGACAGCCCGTGAGATCCAATTTGACTCGATTGCAAGATGCCACCTTCGGATCATGTCCTTGGTCCTTGCCATCTCCACCCGCGACGGGCACGAGTAGATCGCCCCAAGGGTCGCCTGGTAGAAGATCCCCAAGGAGCAAAATCCTTGAGATCGGCTGGGGTCCTGGCAGCGGCTGGGGTCGGTAACTTTGCACTAGCTCAGACTGAGGCGGACACACTTAAAAGCATTGAGAACCCAACAGTAAACTGTTTGGGGGAATTACACTTTGCACTGACGGAACACATTACAATGTAGATGAAACATCCGGGGAGGACAAGAAGTCCCTTGCCAGGGGCCATTGTGGGGGGTCTGTCTGCGGAGGGTTCATCAGGAGCCCTCTCCGATCTTGTGTCTTTTCTTCTGAGACAGGCCGGTTCATGTCGGGCCCTGGCCTGCTCCCTGTGCAGGAAAATCCAGGGGCAGAAAGGAGGCTAGTTACTTCCCAGTGCCACGCGGCTGATGGGGAGAATAACCTCCGATACTACCGAGCATGCAAGGAGGGAGAGTGTTGGGGTAGTGTTTGCATCCCAGTACCGCAGGGCAGATGAGGAAAACACTCCTCACACATCTCACCCAGTGCATGTCTGTACTCTTAGTAAGGTGCATTCACACACCAATAGGGGGTCGGTGTGTCACTGTCTCCGGTGAATCTGTGGATCTGTGTTTCATATTTTGGAGTGAGTCCACTCGTTCTTTGCTCCAGCTGATGATCTCTGTGCATTTCTCAAGTCTTAACCAGGCTTAAACCCACAAAGCAGACTGCAATGGATCCACGCAGCAACGAAAATGATCAGGAAAGGGGTATGGCGGGCTTTTGTTGACAAAGTGTTGGTTGGACCTGTGAAACACCAGTCCAAACCACTGCCGGTCGATCTGGTCACCGACTGGTGATGAGCTGCACATGACCAAGCGCATGACACCTCCAACTCTGCTGGTCACCCCAAAGTACAGTAAGTGGACCGCATCACAGAATTTAAAACAAATAACAAATAATATATATATATATATAGAGAGAGAGAACATAATCTATATATAACATATATAACATACAACATACAACGGTCGTGTTCAATTTCCTCCACCGAAACCGTGCCCAACCACCTCGAACCCAAAGCCGGAACAACGTCACCTTTTTCACCGCGTTCAGCCGACGGCTGAAGGAATCCGTGCCCGTCGCTCCTGGGGATCCGTGTCCTTCAAGAAATGCTCGATGACGGGCACAGGGATCACATAGCCGATATTTTGCGAACTGAGCAGATCGACCGGTCAGGCCGATCGGCCGTCAGGTCGATTTCAGGTCCATCGATGCGTGGGGAAGGAGTAAAAGACTCGGAGCTGTGAAGCTGAGGCATGAAATATGCAAGGCCCCCGCGAACCTCAACCCCAGTCAAGAGCGTGCATGGAGGCCAGGTGGGCCGCACCCAAGGGTGGGCGGGTGGGTTTTGAATGCCAAAATGCGCCCCAAGGCCGCAATTGATTAGAGCACCATATTGAATGCATCCTAGAGCAAAGAACAGTAAGGCCACCTGAACAATAAAGGACAACACTGGTCTTTAGGTTAACATGATGGCACTTGCTGTGCAAAGCTGCGCTTAAACCTACTAGCGATGGCCTCCAACCAAAAACCATCGGGGAAACCGGGGCCGTCTTGCCGTCTTGCCGTCTGGCGTCACAGGGAACGATTGGTCACAGGGATGTTTAAAAAATAATGGGTGAACCTTCGTCTGGTAGATGAAGCCCTTCAGAACGATGCAATGAAGCGCTTTTTCTTCCAAGCTTTGACCACCCTCTCTTAACTCTCTCTTAGTGGACATGCTTCAATACAATGACCCTATACAGGTAAAGGTCACACGGGCAGGCCCATCTCGTTTGCAAGGAAATCTGCCAAGAAAAAAGAACGACTTGGCAACTTGCAAGATCTCCTAAAATGTCTTATGTAAATTATTGTAACATGAATTCCGTAGTTGTTCACATGTTGATCGTGGTAATACATGTCCATCCAATGGCTTCGATTCCAATCACTTCACTGAGGGACTTCTGCTGGTTCTGGAAGGCAACCCCGATGAGCAAGGAGTCCTGCAAAGACTTGGAGACCACAGCATTGCCATGGACCTCTCTGCTTGTTTGGACCTCTGATCTTTTCGAAAAGATCCGGCCCAAGGCGGAACCTTACTTTTGTGCACATCGTTCCATGTCGTCCTGTGTAGGATTGACGTCGAATCTACTTTTGGAGGTCTTCTATTCTGACACAAAACCAACCCGATCGAAGAACGAACCACACAAAGAGACTCTTCAATTTGAAAAGACCATACAACTCAAACTAAAATAAATCCATTTTCCGGGCTTTCCTACAGAGGTTGACCAATCCGTACTTATATGGCCAATATAGTTTTTGGTAGTATATAAATCTATATGTATATATACCGGTCTACCTCTTTGAGGTCACAAGTCACTTCACCTCTGACTGTTCCACCTCGTTGAGCACAGGCCCTCCAGAGTTGCCCGGGTTCACAGCAGCCTCAGGTCGGCTGGGCGGTCGGCTGGTCGGTGAAAGGTGGCTCATGATGGCCTCATGGCTCCCAAAAGGAAGGTGCTCATGACTCACCTGCAAGTCACGCTGCCATGCCCACATGTCGTCCTAGTCGGCCTTTTGGAGTCCTTTTCACCTCGTTTCTCCAGGCGGACCGTGATGGGTGGCGCTGGAAAGGGCACTGGCTTCTTGGAGTCACCAGAGATCACGCAAGGGACCCAGTGAAAAGGGATCGTCATGAACAAAAGGACCAAGAGGTAATTCTCGATGTTTCAATTGGATCCAATTGTTTAATCGAAAATGAATAGGTACCCGAAAAGCCTGTTGAAGAACCAAATTCACCTGACCAATTCGTTGCTCACCTTTGGCCTTTGCATCCTTTAGTCCACGGTTCACTGCAAGAACTTCCTCCATAAAACCCGTGGTTCTCGGGGTCCATGATGTGTGCACCGATACGTTTGGTTCACTCGGACCGCTCCGCGCCCACTGTGTCTGTGGCATCAATTTGTACCGCTAGGAGATCCACCTCAGCATCGCGGTAAGCAGGCCAAATGGCCTTCGGTCCGGGAGGGGTGATTGGAGCCTAGGGATGACAAGCCCCTGCGGCAAGGACAGGGGTCAAACCACCCCTGCGTCGGGTCTGACCCCTGCTATGGAGGGTCCAAGGAGTCTTAGGGAACACCAACCGAAAGCATGGACTCCCAAACCGAAGGTGGACATTCTTCAGGTCGTCCACATCGCTTACAGGAATACAGGGGTGGTTGCAGGGTACCCATCTCTCCCAAAGTCTTCCCAACCTTTTAGATACCAACACCCACGTGTTTTCAGCAAGGCTTGGTCGAAAGCGGTGTGAGCTTTTCATCAGTGCCCAATGCATCAAAAGCCATGGAACAAATAATGATTGGAGCTGCTGGATCAAATCCTGGCCCAAGAGGAAACAGATCTGGTTGTGGTCTTGAACAAAACCAGATCCCCTTGTGCCCATTCTTGATCAGATCCCCTGAGCTGGGGTTGTTTGACAAACCAATTCCAGTCACAAGTGAAAGAAACCTTAGACACCGGGCGCCAGAATGCTCGTAAGTCTGGATCTCAATGCGGGACCTGACAGACAGGGCTGGTGCCGAGCAGCTGGGATGGCGTTCCGACCGGCTGGTTTCGCAAGGAAAATGGACCAAACAACCATTGGGCCAGGGTGTCAGCAGGGTGTCACCCTAATTCTTAAAATACACACCCAATGAAATGTGGGTGTAGATCTGTCCGATGACATGGAGACTCATGGAGGACATAATGTGAAATGAGGCTGGGATTCGACATGGCAACGTTCAAATTGCCATCTCGGTCAGATGGTTGGGTTTACGCAGATTCATCTGCTCCACTCGTTCCCACCGCTGCGCTCTCTGCGCAGCCCACCGTTCCACGAGCACGACGCCCGCGTCCCGCGTCGCGAAGCGCCGCCAGGGCACACGACGCCCTCGGTCACCGAGACGCCATCGCCGCCCGTGGGGTAACCCACGACGGAGACCTCGTCCTGGAACGCTCCGGCTGAAAAAGAGTCCGGAACGCGCTCGAGGGAGAGTGACATCATCTTAGAAGGAGATGTTTCGGAAGAAGAGACCATATTAATCCATATTATTCCATATTATTCTGTAACCCATTTGACTCCTGTTTTGATAGGAACAAACCAGATGTTGATAGATTTGGGGTGACGTGTTCCTATAAACTAGGGGTCACTCAGCTTCGAGGCCACGGGTCTTGAAACCATGTCAGGCCGTCGCGCGGGCGCCCGGGTATCGGTTGCGCCCCGTGTCTTTCGAGCACCACCTTTGTGCCGTGAGCAGGGTGGCGTTGAACAACTCACCATGTCAGGAAAGAGTCCGAAGTGTAGTTTCGTCAATAGAACATGTTAACATGTGTATGTGTTCTGGAAAAAAAGAAAAAGGTTGCACGCTTACGAGGGTGCAGGATTCTACAATCATATCATGGCTTATCATGGCATGAGTGAGGTTGTATGATGCAATTCCAAACATTGTAAATGCCCAAAACTTTGTAGACATCTGTAGTTCCAACTGTGAGGCCTCGCCCTGTTCCGGCCGAACACATCCGAACACGACGCTTCGCACCGCCCGGGCCTGCAGGGACGGCATCGGTCCAAAGTCCAAAGGACTCACCTCGAACAGTGTGTCCCCAGCGGAGCGACGGGGCTCTGGAGCGACCACCCGGCGTTGGGGACGAAAGATGAAGGTAAGGAAGCAAGGAAGAAGGACGGTTGCTGTAGATCGACTGATTGAAGCGGAGGTGATCAGAATTGGTTAAAACAAATTCAGTGGTAAACACGCTACTCAACCTGGGAATAGGTTTGTTATGTGTTCTGGGTCTTCGGTTGTCATTTGTCATTGTCAAGTTGTAAAAAAACCCGCAATATCAAATGGCATGTCGAGCAATCACCTCCCCGAAACCTTCACCGAAGCATGGAGAAGACCACTTCCAATGGCAAACTATTAGCCTGCGGAACGTCCGTTTCAATCATATCATTGCGTGGCCTGGCATATTCACGTGCAACGATTTGATTTACGTATGGGTGTTCTGGGTGTGCATTAGAATGAGGAGACCCGCCCCTGTTTGACCCAGTAAGAAGGAGAATAGACAACCCGTTGGGCCAATTGGCCCTGACAGTACCCACGACTTACCTCCCCACGGTTTGCGGCCGAAAAAAATCAGCAGCGGAGCCAAACAAGGCAAACGCTTCAAAAACAACCCGTAATGGGGGAAATGCCCTGACACTGCAGTGAGTCCTGGAAATCAAACTTCCAATCCAAAACACGTTGCAAGCGGATGCGCCATACGCCATACAACGCCATGGGTCATGGACTCGGCATCGAGTTGCCCAGCCGCTGGAAACCGCTCCGGGCACCCGAACGTCGGCCCAGAAGCCATCGTCTTCCAAGCCTTGTCTGATTAGCGCGGAAGCACAAAAAGAAGAAAAAAAGCCCATCTTGCAGTCAACGAACAAAAGACAAACAAGCAAACCAAGAAACAAACAAAGCAAGAAAGCAAGCAAATAAGCAAACATGCAAGCAAACAAAGAAAACACGAAAGCAAGCAAACAAGCAGGAAAACAAAGAGAACAAGAAAGCAAGCAAACAAGCAAACACAAACACAGGCAAACAAGCAAGCAAGCAAGCAAGCAAGCAAGCAAGCAAGAAGGCAAGCAAGCAAGCAAGCCCCTTTTGGAAGAATAGAAGGGCTAGTTTGGCACGTGTACCTATTGGTTTTGCACTTGGGGGTATCCCGTCTGTTGACCTACCAAACAAAAGTTAAAAGTTCATCTATGAGCGGCTATGAGCGGAGAGATCCGTTCGGGGTCACAGAGCGCTAGAACCTGTTGGGCTACCAGCCTGCCATCGCCCACCACAATAGCCGTGTTTCAGCCACTAGAAAGTTCAACCACAATCGGGACGCGGAGATGCACTTAACTATAGACTATAGACTCTAAACTGTATATACACTTGAAATTGCAATATGAAACTTTACTCAATCTTGCTGCAGTGGTCTCCAAACACCTATCAAATCGGTCTCCTTGGGGATTGCCTTGTTCTTCTCATTTTGCCTTGTCAGCAAGGTGGCAGCCTGTTTCATGTTTTGCTCCAAGATCACTGTCAAAAGCAATGCCTTCCTCAGCCAACCCCCTTTTTCCGCACAGATCTTCTTCGTGGCCTAGCCCTTCTTGGGCCTGGGACGAGCTTACAGGCAAGCTGGGAGCTGCTCTTCTTGGTCATGCGGATAGGGCATGTGTAAAACATTGACAGCGATTATCAGTGGTTAGGGTATTCAGAATACCGATCAAAACCCCTACAGTCGAAGGAAAACCTTCGATGAAAGCGAACATTCCAGGTGGCTGAGCATTTGGATCTCATGACACGAAGCAATGTTGCCACGGCGAACGACAATCAAAATTTTATATTGCCGACTCTGAATACTCTGCTTGGATAAATGCGGTTTTGCTGGGGATGGTCTCTGAAGGGCCTATTTGCCAACTGCACACAAAGCAACAAGCACAAGGCCACGAGAAAACTGCAACCCGCATTATTTGGTGGGACAACAGTGAAAAAGAGCTCGCAAGGCAAGGGCAGCGGATGCTGCAGACCCCCAATGATACACGATTGGAAGAATCGAATTGTTGTGCTCCCTTCAACCTTCCAGCCCCGCACCATTGGTCGAAGCCACGCCCGCGTTACATTGAGGGATCGCAAACAACATATACAGTTGACATGTCGGCCTCAGCATTTGAGTTGCCCCTGACAACCGAAGATGTTCACCTTGCAATTCTTCAATTCAAGAAACATGTTTCCGTACGGGAGGTTGTCCATCAAAAGCGCAGAGACTTTGAAAACCGTACAGGCAGAAGCTACGGACAAACACGCCAGCCTACTCACCTGCACCTGCACAATGTGACAGTCTTGAGGTTCATGAGGGGCGAACACTCTAGCACCCAAATACCGCAACCGAAGTCTGGAGCCAATCTCGGTCCAGGCTGGGCCCGGGCATGTGAGATTTGAACAGCAGCACCCGGCCCTTTGTATGCTTCTTTCCGGGTGGCATATAGAGTGGGCGTACTGTAGTCTCATCGCAGCAAGCGGCTTCCTGGCACACTGAGGTACCTGAGATGTCTCATAGCCAAAATGTTTCAAGAGCCTTCATGCCCAGCGCAACGGCTTCAGGCTTCAGGGCTGCATCAACAACTGCTCAAGATCCTCCACAAAGCCCAACCTAGCCCTAGCTGCCCTAGCTACCTCGAGGCGCGAAGCTCACAGGACAATGCCATGGAAAGACCCAGGTCTTCCAGCTCAAGAAGCGGTGAACAGCAACCCGTGACTAAAACGAACTCTGATTCCGGTAAGCGACAAACTGATGATAACGCAGTTCTGATCTGTCTTGAACGAAACCTTTACGACACGATGTGCAAACATTGCGCTTCTCGGCGCTGGAATATCTTCACATGTTTCACAGCCAGCAAAGGATGTGAGCAGAACAAAGCCCTGCACTCTTGTTCAGGACTCCAGCCCTACACCTCCCTATACTCTACAGTCTACACCTTCTTCTGGATATCACTCCCACCCAGGCCTGACTGCTAGACTTGATCAAAAACTCACATCTAAACAATGTCTGATTACTAGATGGCCTCCCCCTCCCAGCAAACAACCGAAGGTGTCTGAATAGAATCAAGGCCACCAAAAGTATTGACAGCAGCATTAGTATTAGCATTTGTACGTATAATAGTAATAGTATTGTACTAGCATTAGTATTAGGAGTAGTAGTAGTAGTCGTCGTCGCCGTCGTCGTCGAAGTCATCATCGTCGTCGTACTAGTACTAGTACTAGTACTAGTAGTAGTAGTAGTAGTCGTCGTCGTCGTCGTCGTCGTTGTCGTCGTAGTAGTAGTGGTAGTAGTAGTAGTAGTAGTGGTAGTAGTAGTAGTAGCAGTAGCAGTAGCAGTAGTAGTTGTAGCAGTAGTAGTAGTAGTAGAAGTAGTAGTAGTAGTAGTAGCAGAAGCAGTAGCCGTAGCCGTAGCCATAGTAGTGGTAGTAGTAGTAGTCGTCGTAGTGGTAGTAGTAGTAGTAGTAGCAGTAGTAGTAGCAGTAGCAGTAGCAGTAGCAGTAGCAGTAGTAGTAGTAGTAGTAGCAGTAGCACTAGTAGTAGTAGTAGTAGTAGTAGTAGTAGTAGCAGCAGCAGTAGTAGTAGTAGTAGTAGCACTAGAAGCACTAGTAGCACTAGTAGTAGTAGTAGTAGTAGTAGTAGTAGTAGTAGTAGTAGTAGTAGTAGTAGTGGTAGGAGTAGCACCGGTGGTAGTGGTAGTGGTAGTAGCAGTAGCAGGAGTAGAAGCAGGAGTAGCAGCAGTAGCATATCAGTAGCAGGAGCAGTAGCAGGAGTAGTAGTAGTAGTAGCAGTAGTAGTAGAAGTAGTAGTAGTAGTAGCAGTAGTAGTAGTAGTATTTTTAGTTTTAGTAGTAGTCGTCGTGGTCGTTGTCGTAGTGGTAGTGGTAGTGGTAATAGAACAGTAGGCTTGGATATTTTCCCAGGGTTGTTTACCACCCCCCTAAACAATTCTAAGTATTCACTTCCCCTGGGCTTGTGTGCTACCACCTTGAAAAAAATGTTTAGAGCAATAAAGTTGTTGTTGAGCCTTAATAAGCCTTTTTGAAAAATGGTGTCCAGGTCAGAGTTCCAAGAATCAAGCAAACCTCAGAAGAGTTAACTAAGGTTTTTAAAGGGCAGCAATAGCAGAACAATAGAAAAGTTTAAAAGAAAAAATCTATTATTCTGGGTGTGGAAAATAAGAACTTGGCGAAAACGTGTTATTATTCCTGCCACTTTTCTAAGTTGGATTGGATTGTCCACTTCTGCGTGTTATTGTTTCAGGTGTTCCCGTTCCAGGTGGGAGGTATTTGACTGTATTTGTGGGTCTCTTGAATCAGCTCATCAGAAATCCCAGGACTCGCTTCTCCAGTTCAAAATCAAAGACATTGCAGAAGAACCAGAAGAACCTTTCCAACTTCCAACAGTCAAATTCTCGCTAGATACATTGAAAAATGTGTTCCTTTGTTCGTCCCATGTGTCTTCCTTTCTTCAAAAAATGCTGAAACCTTCAGCTTTCTCAGCGTTGCAACACCGAACCAACTCCAAGATCTCTACAAAGACCTCACTGAAACATCCGCCTTGGACCACCCAGCCGCGTTCTCCCAACCGCGGATCAACTCTGGAAGGCGGATGTGTCTTACAGAGGGTCAAGAGGGTAGCATGGATCACTGTCGCGGGCAGGAAGAAAGGAAAGCACATGTGGTCAGAAGACGCTACGTACATGGGTGAGAACCTCAGACCTCCGATAGACCTTCACGAACTTACAGTATGATATTTCCCTCAGCCCATGCCACTTCCACGTCCATGTCTTCCCTTCTATAATTCCCCAACGAACACATTTGCGGATCAGGAACCTGGATGAACCTGGAAAGAATGAAACGCATTCAGGACCCACAAGGACCAAACGAAGAGTATTTCGAATAGCCCACCACATCCCCTGCATGGTCTGGGTCCACCCATGTCCTCCGTCATGTGGGATCACCCCAATGGAACAGACGAACGGGACTCCCATCGTGGACACGTCCCCCCCGAAATCCCCCAAACAAACCTCCAAACCTTCCCAAAAGTGCCCGAAGCCTCCCATCCCCAAAAACTTACCACCCCAACACATCCGGGCGTCCAAAACCTGTCAAGATCCCTTTTTGAGCCAAACCAAGCCGCTGGCGTCTTGGAAGGTCTCTTGTCCGACCAGCTTTGCAAGGCGCAAGAGCATGGCGTCCAACATCGTCACTTCTGGTGCAGAAGGCGCCGGCCTAGGCGGTGTCGGCGTTAGAAAACAACTTGGTGGCTCACGGGTGTTTTTTTTCACACGGCCAAGTGGTTAGGACTGCGGAGGTTAGTAAGGTGTTGAGTGTATGACTGTGCTCACTGAAAAGTGAGGTAGCGCTGCTAACACCGTGCATATGGTTGAAACATGTTGAAATACACTGTGGTTTACAGTCAAGTGAAGTGAAGGTCTAAAGAGAAAAATGCTTTCTGGGAGCTTGCATCTGAAATCCCAGCCTTGCAAGAAATCGGATCGCGAGAACCCTCATGACTCATGTGTGAAGGTATTCCCAATTTTTCAATTCTGGAAGAGTGGGGTAGTATTGATCGGGTATTGATCACGCGTTTTCAGGGAATCAGGCCCTTACCGACACTTCACAAAACTTGGGGGGATTCTCTTCACTCACTTTTTGGTGTGAGAGGCAATGGGATGGCGAAATTGTCATCAAATGACACCAAACCTGAACGCCCAAGACCTTAGAGGCAAATGGCCGGCCCAAAAACATGTTAGGGTACAGCTTCCTAGTCCTTGACAGGTTTTATGTTT